AATGTAGTCATATTTTCTAATTTTTTCCTTTATGGTTAGTCCTTTCCTATCCTGATACCTAAACCAATACTTATTCTCAGAAGTTTCAAAGTTTGCTTTTTCACATTGAGATCTTTATTCTACCTGGTATTGACTTTGTATATGGTATAAAGTGGGGATCTGATTCTTATTTTTTTCCATTTAAATATGCCCCCAGCTTCATCCATACTTTCTCCACTGGTTTATAATGCTGCCTGTCCTGTACCATGTCTCTATGAATGTATAAGTGTTTCTATGATGCATATTTTGTTCCATTGGTCATTGTCCAATGAAATATAAATATGGGCTTTTCCTCTTGCAACACAAAAGCTAACATATATACACTGTGCATTTTAGCATAAGTTCCTTGGATATGTTTGTATAAAAGTTAATAGAGATCTTCATTTTTTTAACAATTGCATAACATCCATTGAGGATGTATCATAATTTATTTAACCAGTTCCCCACTGATGTATGCTTGGGTGTTTTCCAACCTCATGTTGCAAATAATATACAGTGAATATATAATAAATCAGTTTGTTCTTATACAAGTACATCTGCAGGATAAATTCCTCAAAGTGGAATTTCTTGGTCAAAGATTTGTTACTTCGGTGTTGCCAAATCACCTTTCATATGTACATCTAACAATTTCACCAGTAATGCACTGAAGTGGGTGTTTCCAGGCAGCTTCAGAAACAGTATTGTCAAATTTTTGGATTTTTGACTATCTAATGGGTAAAAAAATGGTGTCAGCATCATTTTTATTTGCACTTCTTTATATGAATTGAGCATCTTTCATACATTGAAGAGACATTTCTTTTCAATCACTATCCATTTTTATATTTGATTGTTAGTATTTTCTCATCATTTTCTGAGTTCTTTATATAGTAAAGAGTCTAGCTTTTTGCCTGGTTGTGAATATGAATAGCAAATGATTTTCCTGTTTGTCATTTATATTTTACTTAGTGTATGATATATCCAGAGAGTTTTTATGTTTAGCTACTGAGATATATCAGTCTAATCTTTTATGACTTTAGAGTTCGAGTCAAAGGCCTTTCACATATGAAGAAATACCAGCTAGCCCTAGCCAGTTTGGCTCAGTGGATAGAGTGTCTGCCTGCGGGCTCTATCCCCAGTAGGGAGCGCACAGGAGGCAGCCAATCAATGGTTCTTTCTCATCATTGATGTTTCTATCTCTCCCTCTCCCTTCCTCTCTCTCTTTTTTTTTAATGTATATATATTTTATTGATTTCAGAGAGGAAGGGAGAGGGAGAGAGAGAGAAAGAAGCATCAATGATGAAAGAGAATCATTGATCGGCTGCCTTTTGCAGACCCCCATTGGGGATTGAGCCTGCAACCCGGGTATATGCCCTTGACCAGAATCGAACCCTGGACCCTTCAGTCCACAGGCTGATGCTCTATCCACTGAGCCAAACCAGCCAGGGCTCTCCCTTCCTCTCTTAAATCAATACCAGCTAGAAAGAAATTCTCTCATGTTTTCTTCTGGAACTTGCATGATTTCATTTTTCCCATTTAAGTATTTGATTAATTTGAAATTTTTTATAATTTTGAAATGACCCAATTTTATTTTCCTTTCAGATGGCTAACCAGTTATCCATGGTGTTAATAAACACATGTATTAAATAGAATTCTTTCCTCCACTAGCTTGTGATGCTAAATTTATTACATACTAAATTCTGTTTTAAGGTTATGCTAACTGCAAACCCAAAAATGGCTCAAACACAAGAGAATCAAGGTTTTCCCCTTGATTTTTAAATACATCAATTTGTCTCCTTGAGTGCCTATTTTTTATTTTGAAAAGCGGTCATTGTATATTAAAAATTATAGAGATAATTTGAAGCCTAAAATAATGTTATTTTCCTCCCGAGAGAATACATGTTTTCGTCTGAGAGATGGCTAGGAGCACTGTCAGTCTTGGAGCAACTTAATCCATTCAGAAACTGAGATAATTCAGAATTGGACTGTAGCTTCTAGCTCTGAACCCTTCAAGCCTGTTTCTCATGTCCAGCACCAAGTGCTGTAGGGAACTTCCATGTTGTTATCCACCTCTGGCCCTGCACCTCTGTTTCATGATGCCGAGCATCAGGGGAGTGGCAGGGGGAGCATTCCTGGAAGCCATTCCTATACCAGGACAGCCAGCAATGACTTCACTGTACATGGAGGTCTCTGGAAATCGTGGAAATGTATCCCATCGCACTCAAACGGAATACATCCCCAAGTCTACTTCCTCAGCTTTTAAAATTGCTGAAACCCTTCTAACGGCATGCAGCATGAAGTGTGTCATGGGAGAGGAAGGTCTGGAGTGGAAAGAGAGAGCAATGACCAACATCAAGCCTTGTCAGAGCCTGGCTGGAGAAGGGAAGAAGTTCTAAACTAAAAAGAGTTTGAAGATCTGCTTTCTATTTGCACCTGTGGAGTCCAGCACGTTCCACAGAATAGGCCTCTCGTGTCTCTTAGAAGTAGACCGTCTGTGCCATGAAATGCAGGTGCCTGCTGCCTTACTCACCACCACATCCCCAGCCCATGAAACAGTACCCACACAGAAGGTTCCCAATATGTACTTTTCAAATGGATGCCAAACTCAGAGTATACAACGACAGGTAAGCCTCAGCCCCTGTCCTCAAGGAACGCAATCAGGGGTACTGCAGATGGGAGAAGAAATTATTTCAGTAGAACTCAGGAAGCCCTGCAGAGCAGAAAAGGCTTCTAGGTGAACCATGAGGGATGATCGGGGGTCAGGCTGGGCTGACAAGGGTCAAGAGGTGCAGGGCGCGGACAGTGCCAAGGACAGTGGAGAATTCTCAGCAGCATGATGGAAACTGAGGCCAGAGAAAGGAGACGGGACTAGATTCGAACAGCTTACTTGGTGGGTGATGGGGAGCTGATGAAAGGTTAGGCCACGAATAGCATTTCCAGAATTGTATTTGACCAAGAACACTTTGATGGGTTGGTAAGTGGTGAGTTGAAGAGGAACAAATTCAGAGTTAAGGAGACCAGTTAGGCAGCTCTTGTAATGGTCCAGGTAGAGTTAATGACATCCTGACTGACCTTGGGTCACAGGTGGTAGAGATGAAAAGGAGGAGTGGTTTGGAGAAAGATTAGGATGTCAATCAGCTGGATGTGGTCATTGATTAGATGGAGGGGGAGAGAGGAGAAGGTTTGTGCTGACTTCCAGGTTTCTGGCTCATGTTACACGGTGGATGGTGAAGCTCTGAGCTCAGGGGCAGGATATACTTAGGTAACCTCGGTGTGCCCTTCTCAAACCTGAAGGGTGGAGTGGGACCATTGGAATGATGGCTCGGGCAGTGGTGGCAGAATCCCCAACACTGTATTCCTCCTTCCTCCTGAGGTCTGCTGTAGAGCATGAGACAGAAGGACTTTAAAATGTTCCCTGGAATGGGTGAGTGCTTGCGTGTTGTGTCTATCGTGGTCGAAGTCAGGGATGTACTAACTCAATTATGGGTGGTTATCATGTAATATTAACAGTGCCCTGCTTCTGACACTTTCTCTCTCAGAGATGTTTTGATTCCAGATGAATAGATATTAGCTGTAAAGTCTTGCCACTTCTTTTGCAGTGAATTGGCAGGCTCTTCTGCTGAACTGTGGCATTTGGGGACTGGGTGAGCAGACTGGATCTCCCAGGTGGGGCTGTGGAACAGACAGTGCATGATTTCATCACCAACTTCTATTGGCCTAACACAATAAAGCCCCATATCTGATTTGCTGTCCATTAATGTAGGGAAAACAAACAAACTATTTCAATACAAGTGCCTGGTTAAATATCATACCTTGATGTTGAGGAGTTTCAGTACCTTCCATTTAGCCTTGTAAAATCTAAAAGAAGACCTCCAGGCAGCCCACTGGCTGTGTTTGGGGAAAGACTGAGCTGATTTGGTAAAAGAGAAAAGGAACTCATTTCATTTCCCTTGTCACTGAGGCTGGGGTGAACCTATGTAACGTCCAACAAGGTAGTGAATGGGCTCAGTGGCTCTCACGTGAGGAATGCAGGAATCTCATGTTAGGAATCAGGGCTCAGAAAGGGAGGCAGTATGTTGATTATAACGTGTTGATCAGGAATCTTAGATCGCAAGAGACATAAACCTCACTCAGACCAGCAAGGCAAAGAGGAGAGGCACCGGCTCATACAACTGAACGTTCAGCTTCTGGTTTACACTTCTGTGCTGGTAGTTTCTGCAAATGTCCTGACACTGAGACTGAGATGACTCGGAGCACATGTTGACCCCTGAACTGTGACTGATCAAGCAGGACTGGGTCCTGTCGCACCCTGGTTTTCACATTGAGGCAGCTCTGACTTGTGAATCCTCTGAATGTCCTCATCTTGATCCTGCAATTCAAGCATCATGCTTTCGTCAAAGGATCTCACCAGCTCATGTGGATCAAGGCCCAGCTGGAGCACAAGATGCTGTCGAACCTGTCGCCAGGAGTGCACATCCTCTGGCCACTACCCCAAAGGAACCTCGAGGCAGAGGGGAGGGAGAGCAGGCTGCTCAGCCTGGAGGAACCCATGTCTCACCGCAATGTGACACGATGCCATGACCACCAGAAAAGCTCTCTTGGCTCCAAAGAGAACGCCCTGTCTGCTGGCTGATGCCTGACATTCTACACTGTCTTGCTTTTGCTTTAAGCCCTTGTTAAAATATAAATGTCCTTGAGAGTGGGAACACTTTACATTTCTATCAGGAATTCTTAGAGTGAAGGATTAGAAAGCAGACTTTGATCACAGGAGGGAATAGAATGTGCAGGGTTCTGGGAGCCTGAAGCCAAGGGAAAGTGAGGTGGGAGGAGATAAATGACAAAAGAATGGGGAAGATGCTGCCACTTCCCAGGGTGCCTGCAGCTGGAGCTGGGCAGGGCAAGGGCTTGGGATGCAGGTAGGTGATACAGTGCGTCACTGAGCTGCAGTGACAACGGAGAGGAAGCAAGGAGCCCAGCAGATGGCGATGGCATCATGGAGGAGCAATCCAAGACCAAGACCTGGAGGACTTAGAGGTGAGGACAGGTAGAGGTCTGAGGGAGGGGCAAGGACATTCACAGTGGGCAAGAAAATGAGCAAATGAATGGAGATTGAAACAAGGTCTCTCTGTGCTCGTTTTATTTTTCCAGTGCCTGCCATATACCAAGCTACTTTCCTTTGTTCCACAAATACGTTTTTGTGATAAAACACATACAACACAAAATTGGCCGTTTTAACCATTTCTAAGTGTACACTGTAGTGTCATTAAGTATATTCACAATGTTATGCAGCTATAACCTCTATCCATCTCCAGAACTTTTTAACTTTCCTAAACAGAAACTCTGTACCCATGAAGTAATAACTCACCGTTCCCCTCTTGTCTTTGCACCTGGTAACCTCTATTCTATTTTCTGCGTCTATGAATTTGACTGTCCCGGGTATCTGATATATAAGTGAAATCAGGCCTTTTATGGCTGCCTTACTTCACCTGGCATAATGCCTTCAAGGTTCATCTATGTGCAACATGTGCCAGAATTTTGTTCTTTTTAAAGACTGAGTAGTATTCCTTTGTATATATATATATATACACCACATTTTGTTTATCCATTCACCTATTGATGGACACTTGGATTGTTTCCACCTTTTGGCTATTGTGAATAGCGTTGCTATGAACATGGGTGTACAAATATCTGCTCGGGCTCATGCTTTCATGTCTTTTGAGTATATACCCAGAAGTGGAATTGCTGGATGATATGTAATTCTGTGTTTAATTTTCTGTGGAACTGCCCTACTATTTCCCACAGTGATTGCACCATTGTACATTCTCACCAGCAATGCACAAGGGTCCCAATTTCTCCACATTCTTACCAACACTTGTCATTTTCTATTTTCTTTCTTTGTTTAAAAATTTTCTTTTTAATGCTAGCTTTCTTAATGGGTGTAAGGTGGTATCTTACTGTGGTTTTGATTTGCTCCTTAGTTATTAGTGATGTTGAGCATCTTTTTATATGGTTTTTAGCCATTTGTATATCTTCTTTGGAGAAATGTCTATTCAAGTCCTTTGCCTGTTTTCGAATGGGGTTGGTTGTTTTGTTGTTTTTGTGATAAAACACATACAACACAAAATTGGCCGTCGAGTTCTTTATATGTCCATAAAACACATAAACACAAACTTATAGGGTTTTTTTAATATATATTCTGGATATTAATCTGTGACCATATATGTGATTTGCAAATATTTTCTCAACATTGAGTATAATGTTAGCTGTGAGGTTTCTATATGTAACCTTTATTATGTTGGGGTAGTTTTCTTCTATTCCTAGTTTGTTGAATGTTTTTCTTTTTTATCATGAAGGAATGTTAAATTTTGTCAAATGCCTTTTCTAAATCAATTGACATGATAATATATTTTTCCCCCTTATTCTGTTAATGTGGTGTATTGCATGTTGAACCATCCTTGCATTCCAGGAATAAATCCTACTTGGTTATGGTCATATAATCCTTTTAATATGCTGCTAAGTTCAGTTTGCTAGTACTTTGTTGAGGACTTTTGCCTCAGTATTCATAAGGAATATTGGGCTTTAGTTTTCTTTTTATGTATTGTCCTTGGCTTTGTTGTCAGGGTAATACTGTCCTTATAGAATGAGTTAGAGAATGTTCCATTTTCTGCAATTTTTTGGAAATTTTTGAGAAAAATTGGTGTTAGTTTTTTAAACATCTGATAGAATTCCCCAGTGATCCCATCTGGTCCAGGACTTTTCTTTGTTGGGACTTTTTGACTATTGATTAAGTCTTTTTATTACAGTTCTCACTCAGATTTTCTATTTCTTCATTATTCAGTCTTCATTGGTTTTGTGTTTCTAGGAATATTTTAATTCAGCGAGGTTAACCAATTTGTTAGCATACAATTGTTCATGGTATTGTCAGGATATTTTTTATTTCTTTAATATTGGTAGTAATGTCCCATCACAAATAATTTTTTAGTACAAACTTTCTTTGTGCATGGCATATAGTGTTAGGTCCTGGAGACCCATCTATAAGTAAAACCTTATGGCATCACAGAGTTACAGTCCAGGATTTAAAATACAATTTAGAGACCAAATTCAAATAACGTATTATAGTATATTAACTATACATATAAATTTAAGGTATAATTCTCAAGCCACATTCAGTGAAAGAAAGCCCTTAGATACAGTATTATCCAGCCCTTACTTGTTGCTATTGCTGTGTCCTTGCTAAAGTCTCTGGTCTTAGAGTATGTGTGGTGAACAATCTTGGGGACAGACCATACAGCAGCAGTGCCTTCGGGTCAGTCCAGCACTGCTCTGCACCACACACACTCAAATTTAAGTAAGGGGATGGGCCCTTTTTCCCTTTTTTATTTAAGTATAACCTCCACACAGTAGAGGGCATGAAGTGTACTAATCTTAAGTACACAAATTTAATGGGTTTTTACATATGTCTAACTCAGTGTAACCACCAGTAACTAGATAGAAAATCTCCCAGAAAAACCTGTGTGTCCATGAGGCATGAGAAGACTTGAACTCTTTTTCTTTAAAAATATATTTTATTGATTTTTTACAGAGAGGAAGGGAGAGAGATAGAGAGTTAGAAACATTGATGAGAGAGAAACATCAATCAGCTGCCTCCTGCACACCTCCTACTGGGGATGTGCCCGCAACCAAGGTACATGCCCTTGACCGGAATCGAACCTGGGACCCTTGAGTCCACAGCCGACGCTCTATCCATTGAGCCAAACCGGTTAGGGCAAGACTTGAACTCTTAAAGCCTCAGTCGGACAGCAGTGTATCTGAGCCTTCATCTGGGAGCCTTGGCTGGAGAACGCTTCATCCAGGAACCTGCTGACTGCGGAGTGGCTCAGAGGTTCACATTCTGCAGAATCAGCCTTACCTGAGCCCTTCAGTAAACTACACTTGTGCTCACACACACACACACACACACACTTACTAAATATTTATGGAATTTCAGGTCCTGACTTGGTGGAGTATACAAAGGTAAAGAAGCCATAGTCCTTGCCTTTCTGGGAGGTAGCCAGTGTTGCTGCAGCCCAGAGACCCCTCAGCTCACCTTTGACTTCTATAGATGTGATGGGCAGCAGCTACCATACTCCTTTGTACCTTCCTTTTCTCAGAAAATCCTAGCTCTGCCCTCCCTTGTCCTGGGCACCACTCACTCACCTGAAGTTAGGGTGGGTCAGGGGTCATCGTTGCTCTGGTCAGCTCAGCCAGGGCCTCTAGAGCTGCCAGTGCTCAGGAAGTAGGCCCATTGCTGTGGGATGAGGAGGATATGGGCTATGCAGTCTGGAGAGAATGCTATTAGGAGGTGAGTTGATTACCGGTCTCAGGGCTACAAAGCGGGAATTTATAAGGAGGAAGCGGACTGATTGTTTATGGTCTGTGAAAAAAGCAGTGAGTTTAGCAGGCTCCGGTGAAAGAAAGGAAGGATGGCATTTTGAGAAGAGGAAGAAAATCCTTGTCCAAAGAGTGGCCAAGATGGTGTCAGGTGACCTCCACCCCCACCGTCTCAGAGGAGAGGACAGACAGACAGCAGCCCAGAGGAGAGCTCTGTGGTTTTCCTGATTCCAGGTGATGGGTGGGGTTGGGCTGGGCTCCAGTCCCTCTAACCCAATGGTTCCATGAGTCTGTGATGTCACTGAAGAGAGAAGAGAGGGTAGCTGGGCTCAGCTGCAGATGCTCCAGTGCCTCTCTCCTTAGATTCGGATAGTTTGGGGGATGAGGGGCGGTGAGCTGAGGGAGCACACAGCAGAGCATCTTTTACAAAGCTGGCCAGAAGAACAATGAAAACAGCCTTTAATTCTTCTGTTTCTAGAAAACTTAAAGAACAAGAGATCGACATTCAAACTGAACTGAAAAGGAATATTTGGACAAACCGTGATTGCGAGAGTGGATAAGTCTTCTAGCTGAGCCTATGAGCTCTGACACCACAGCAATCATCTTCGTCATCCTCCTCCTCATTTGCTTTACTTCCATCCTCTTTTTATTGATGCTGTTTATATATAAATGGTATAAATCCATGCTGATAAATTGGGATCAGATTTCAAGTCACACTAGCAAATGTATCTTGAAATAAGATCAAATAATTTTAAATAGATGAAATAACAATGCTGTAGCTACTTTTCCCATTCAGGGTTTGAGAAATGCGAATTGCCTCTGTAAACATGAAGTTCCATGCGAGTCTTAAAACCAAGACCATTTTTCCTTTTTCTGAACTGTTTGCTTGTTCATTTTCAGTTTCCAAAGAAGGAAAACTGAAGAGACAGAAAACGGTCCTTGTGAAGATTGTTTAACTGATAATGTGCAGACAAGCAATCCAAGAGACCAAGAAAAGTAAGTCTGTGTCATAGAATGTCCATAGAATGTCGTAGAAAGCCATTTTTGCGTGTGATACTGGTGGCTAATGTGCATGAATTTTAAAATTTTTTTTTTTTTTTTTTTTTTTTTTTTTTAGTAATCTACAGCAAATCATGAGGCCTGGCATCCTTGTCCACAGACCAAATAAAGAAATGGAGGCCGCATACTTGAAAAACAATGAGGACATAGAGGGCGGAGTGGAGGGCGAAATACAAGAGGAGCCAGATCCTGAGGGTCCTAAAGAGAACAGTCCAAAGGTGATGGGCTTTGCACCTCGCAAGGGCAGTTTAGAATCTGTCTGAGGGTAAGGGGGTAACTTACGTGGCTAGGCACAATAAGGGTTGCTCTTGCCTGTGATTTAGGTTTGTAGCTGGAAGGAGTGCCATGTCCATGGTCATTTAAACCATTCTTCTTAGCTTCATTGGTTCACGTTATTAACGATTTACATATGCCAAGCCTGATATATGCTCCTTCTTCATGGCTACATTTGTGTTTTTCTTAATAATTCCCCTCATTTTGCTGCTTTTCTCAGAATCCTTGAAGCTAAGAGCTGGAGGAGGTCTTGGAGATCATCTAGGGATCCAACAAATGAGAAAGTGACACGAGTTGTTCAAGGTCATTCCTCCACTGTGGCTTAGCTCGGGACCAGACCTGTGTCCCTTCTGAGTTCGGGCTCCTTCGACGCCAGCACACAGACATTGCCAGGGCTCCTTAGCTCCGTGCTTGGAGCTCCCTAGTAAGAACAACTCACACGCCCTCCCAACAGAAGACCCAGGCCCAGGCAGAGACAGAATGATGATCCAGGCAGCTCCCGGGTTTGACTGCGGCATAGAGGGAACAACACGCGTTACCAAATGCTATTTGGATGTGTCAGTGTTTGCTTTTAAAACCCTAGAAATATGAACACGATGGGTTATCACAGCTTTCCTTTTTTTTTGTCGTGATACTTTTCTGTTCCTTACTAACAATGTACATATAACCTGTATTTTCAAAAGCAGGGCTTGTTGTGTTCATAAAATGATCACTTACACAGTTCGTCCCATTCTCTTGCAGGACACTGATTTGCAAGGAGCACACATGTCTGTCACTGGAACCCCTTCAGTTATTGACAACAGCAAAAGACCTTTAAAAGGAGTGACGTTTTCTAGGGAAGTGATTGTTGTGGATCTTGGGGAGAAACACCCTGCACCGCAAAGCCATATTCAAGAACATAAAGAGAGAAAATGAAGGTCAGAAAAGGCTGAGAGTGAAAGCCACGTACCCTGAGACTAGCAGTGCAATGACTGGGGGTATGAAATCATGTTGAAACGGCAAAATAATGGAGAATTAAGCAAATACAAATAACATTTTATCTTTGTGCAGAAAGAAGTGGGCTACATGCAAAATTGTAAGTAAAATACCTAGAACTTGAATATAATGTGTGTTTTTTTAAACACAAATCCGAGTTCAAGAAATTGATTATATTAAGTGTCCTTGCAACTCAGTCTACTCAAACACTGCCTAACCTATGAATAAAGTTACTTTGTGCAGTTATCTTAGGTGAATAGTATTCAAAGGAACATTGGAAACAGCACATGTCCTTGATGACCACAGACATTCATGACCAAAACCATTCCTACCATCATCAAGGAAACCTCCAATAACTAGGTCTAGAGTCCCTTACCCATACAATCCCTATTGCACTCAATTCTGAAACCGTTCTTGTACTGACAACTGCTTTTCAATATCGATTTAAAAAAAATTACCATTACTAACAATATCCTGTTATGTTAGGGAAGTCCTGAGATCACACTATTCCTGATTTCAGTAGTTTAAAATTTGCTGTCTATATGAGGACTATGACAGTACAGACCAGTGCAACATCACCCAAACCACTGCAGTAAACACCTATGAAATGTGTCAGGGACCGTGGGAGAGATAATAAGCAGAAAACACAGCATTTGATTCAGGGGCCTAGCACATTGTCATGAATATGGCCTATGCTCAATAAATGTTTGTGGAGTGATTGAAAGAGTAAGTGATAACATAATTTAGAATGTGTAACTAATGCTAAATGGGGAGTACTGGCACTCACTGTGGCCTGGGACTATCTCATTGTGAGGAGGAGAAGGGATTTAAGCAAACGGAAGGATTGGGTGATACAAGCAGAGGAAAGTGTGCATTTCAGACAGGGAAAGGCACAAGCCAAGGCAAAGAGGTGAGCATATGTGTTGAGTTTGGTGGACACCCGTTAGCTGGAGCTGCAGGTTGGTGTTGAGGAGAGCTGAGAGGTAACTGAGTCAGAGCAAGGTTACTCTTAGGATCCCAGGCTAGGAGTATAGGTGGAGAACAGATGGAAGCAGTGTGGACTGCAGGGTGTGTGGGTCTACAAAAATATTCATTCAGAGCCCATGAGTTCTCTACAAGCACTTAAAAATTTTGGTCTTTCACTTGATAATATTTTTAAAAGTTTAAATTGTGGTAAATATACATAACATAAAACTTACCATATTAATTAACCATTTTAAAAAAATATTGTTGAAAGTATTAAATAGGTCCTTCTTTTCCCATTAACCTCTTCCAGCCCGCTCCTATCCCCTACTCCACCCCCCAGGCCCTCACCACCCCAATGTCTGTGTGTATAGGTTATGGTTATATGTATACAAGTACATTGGTTTATCTCTTTCCACCCATCCTCACCTGCCTTCCCTCTGAGGTTCAACAGTCTGTTCATGCTTCTATGTCTCTGGGTCTGTTTTTGTTCATCAGTTTATTTGGTTCATTAGGTTCCATATATGAGTGAAATCATGTGATACTTATCTTTCTCTGACTGACTTATTTCGCTTAGCATAATACTCTCCAGATCCATCCATGCTGTTGCAAATGGTAAGAGTTCTTTTTTATTGCTGCATAGTATTCCATTATGTAAATGTACCACAGCATCTTGACCATTTTTAAAGTGTACAATTCAATAATGTTAAGTACCTTCACATTGTACATTATCACATCTACCCACACAACACTGTTCATCTTGTAAGACTATAACTCTATATCCATTAACACTAACTCCTCACCCCCAACCCCACCCCAGCCCTTGGTAACTACCAATCTATTTTCTGTCTCTATGAATTTGACTGATCTAAGTAACTCACATAAGTGGAATCATAGTATTGTCCTTTTGTCCTTATGTCACTTAGAATAATATTCTCAAGGTTTATACATGTGCCAAGAATTTCCTTTCTTTTTAAGCCTGAATAATATTCCATTTGTATGTATACACCACAATTTGTTAATCCACTCACCTGCTGATGGGCACTTGGATTGCTTCTT